TTAGAAAAGAGAATAATTAATTTCTTGTGCCTTTTTCCTCCAGATTTTGGTGAAATCTGGATTCAAACTGGATCTCAGTGTGTTAGTAATTTCGAAACATTTGGATTGTTAATGTGCTGGTTATGCCCTTTTTTACCGCTTGGTGTCACCTTTTCTAGGCTGACGAAGCACAGAAGCAGATTGCAGAATTCCTGCAGTGCAGATGGCTTACGGCTGCGTGCAGGGATGGCTCCCATGGATGGCTGGGGGGAGGGAGGAGCGGTGTGACTGTCCCACCGCAGTGACTCCTGCAGCACTGACACACGGCTGTGGTGGCACCGTCCGTGCTCTCTGGGAGCAAGTGATCGTGTAAGAATCAAGTGGGAAGCTGGGAAATCAGCTGAGTATTATCTCTGTGGAGATGTACGTATTTGCGGTGAATGGATGGTAAAGTATGAAGGCCACAGAGGGAAAATTTTTTTTGCTAATCAAGGATGCACTCTTAAAAAAAAAAAAAAAATCAACTAAACCCCATATTTTACCCTGGAATAATGAGTGCTTCCTATTGGGGTAGGTTTTAAAATCTCACTTGTCACTCTAGCTCTTCTAGTACACTAGCTGTTTAATTGAGTCGTGTAATTACTGAATAACTAATTTAAGAATTACCGTGTGATCTCACTGGGAAAATATTTCTCTGTTGAAAGGAAGGTGAGTTTAATTAAGTCTCTTTTAATGAACTATTTTTTGGAATTTAACAATGTCAGTACTTTGCTACTTAAATATTTCTTAAAGTAATAATGTAGAAAACTTGAAAATAAAAGTAGAAGAAAATGCTGGAACTGTAAAGATTCTTTAAGTTCATGTGAATAACTTCATTGCTGTTTTAAACAAGACACAAAAAAAATGACACTTTAATTAGGTGTTGTAAGGTACTTGGAGCAATGCTAGTGAATGTTCTGAAACTTACTCTCTCAATAATACTGACCAAGGGGATCTGTAGAAGGTAAAAAAATAATGCTTCCATGCTATTAATATGTTTTTGATTGTGATTAAGGAATATGGTTTTATTCAGATTATATTTTGATTAAATATAATCTGAATAAATCCATACACAATCCAATCCTACCCAATCCATACCCAATCCAATCCTACCTACCTGTCTGAAGAAATAAGGCAGTAGGTTCATCTCTCATGAAAAATATGTAATGGGAATGAGTAGGGGATGGAGGAGAGGAAGCGAAACATCGACAAAGGAGCCTGGGGAAGTCAGGAGCAAAAGCATTTCAAGCTTCTTACAGGAGCCAGTGACACAAATGTCACTTTTGACAAGATGAGAAACAGGCACAACCTCTGCAATTGGGCATCTGGGACAGCCTGGCTCTGAAACCCTGGAGGCAGTCAAGGTGGCTGCACAATTATAACCAGGAACTGGCAGATTTTTCTGGAAGAAACCACCCCTGGAGGGAAATCTTGCTGTGAACTTGGCTAATTCAGCTACAGTTAGAAGATGAGGAGTTACAGGGAAAGATGTTCTTTCTGGGTCCTTTTGGGGGAATGCTGCAAGAGGCTCCGTGGGTTGAATGAGAGCCTGTGTCAGAAGAAGCAGAAGGATCTCATGGTGGGAAGGTTTCTCATTATATGTTGTAAGGAAGAGATCTGCAGTGCATCTTTATGTCCTGAGCTTTGCTAAAAGTTCTGCTGTAGAGCCCTGGAGGGCACACACCATCAAATAAGGGAAGGGCAGCTCTTTGTGGCAGTTTGTCTTTGTAAGGGACAGACTGGGCGTAGTCTGTCAGTGAGCATATGCCGTGGTGAGTAACACCACACCTAAGGGTTGTGGAAAGATTTCCAGCTGACCAGTTCCTGCTTCTGTCCTGTCCAGCAGGTTGTTCTTTTCCTGTCATTCTCAAACATGCACACCAGGACAAACATATACTATAGAAAGCATGGTTAGTTGTGTGTGGATAAATTCTGTGTAATTAGATTATTCAGTTGTCTCTAGGGTCTGATAATGTGTATTACAAGGTTCTGAAACTGTGGCAATCACTAGTAACCTGCAAAATAACCAGCTTTGCAAAACTGAACCGGCAGGGTAATCTATCACAGCTGTTTATTCTCACTTCATGCAGAAAACTCTTTGTCCTGAGTTGCCACATAACTAGTGATCCAAGTTAAGCTCATAATCATGTTCTTATCATTACATGCCTCTCAGCAGCAGCCTTCTCACACTGGAAAGCTGAGTCTGCTAGAAATAGCTAAGCTGTTTTCTGCCATATTCATCATACATTTATGAAGTCCTCTACAGTTGTTCATTTTAAGTAATGGCAGTAATTTTGTCTGTGTTGCTGTTAGGGCTGACAGAAAAGTAGTAGAACAGCATCAGCCTTTATTTGCTTGTGTGAAGAAGAATGTGATTTTAAAGCAGGCTTGTTAGCGTGCAGTGTTACACATCCACTTGTACAAGGAGAGGACACAAATACTGTGTGAGGGAACTATGCAAATGTATTTATCCTCTTGAAATAGTCAGATACCTTTTTCAGATGATGGAGCTAAGTGGAACAGGGGAATAGGGAGCATCAATAGGAACATGCTTGCTTTCAGAAACCTGCTTAGAAGAGGAGTCAGGGAACTTAGATGCATAGAAAAGCCTTCCCTTTCTCATCTGCATTCTCTGTGTGTCTGGCTTCATCTTAAATCCATACAGGGCTGAAGTGGCCACATGTGTGGGCCTAGTCTTTCTTCCCAGTGACAACACCTTTATTGGTATAACAACTTCTGCCCAACCCAATATCTGAGAAACTCTCTGCATAAATCATTTTGCCTGGGTTCAGCCCAAGGAATAGAATTTAACAGAAGTTTGCAATTAAGAAGCCCTTTTCTCAACTGTCTCCACAAACAGAAAACGCCCTCTTTGAAATAGGATCTGTGAGCCCCGTGACTCTGGTTACTCAGCATTGTTGGATGATAACATACTGCAGCTAGGAAACAGAAGTGCTTCAGGCTTCCAGAACTTGTGCAGTCAGGGGTCTCTCTTTTGCCATTTAAGGCACTTGTTTGCATTTCTGTGGGTGTCTCTTCTCCCCTCCTTCCCTCCTCCCATATTCAGAACAAACCCAGAATCTCTTTAAGTAATGAAGTATGATTTATAGCATCATTCTGTGTAGTTTATGACAAGCAACTGCATGGTCTAATTTAATAAATGCTATGCTGTAATTACAGGCTTTCCTTTTCCTATTAGCTCTTCCTTTTTCTGAGTCTGGCACTGAATGAAGCTGAGGATGCAGAGTGCTTCAGGGAAGGGAAGTAATGATGACAACTTTGGAATGTTTTTAAATTGACTCCCACGAGCTCTCATGTTTTTGATTGCTGTTGTAAGATTCCTTCTCCATACAAGGCTTATGCATCAGCAGAAAATGCATTAAGCATTCATTGCTCAACACGAAAACAGGGTTTTTGGGGGAGGATTCTGGTGTTTTTCGTCCCTCTGTAAAAAGAGGAATTAAAGACCCAAGAAATCCCCCCATAAACCACACTTACACATTCCCAGGAGTTTTAACCTATACACAGATGGTAGCTATAGCACAGCAGGGATGAAAAATAAAAATACAATTCTGTACAAATTGTTAGATTGGAATATTAATTTTGTAAGGTATTTCCTTCTCATGAAGACAATGGGTATTTTTTTTAAGGCATGTATAAAGTGTTGAGATCCACAGCCAGTTAGTTCCAACTACAGGGTGATTTTTTTCTGTTCTCTTGAGTTTTTGTGTTTGTGTATGCTGATCACCATCATTAGCACTTCTCATCTCTGGGGCAGGCCCCATAAGGCCTTGAATGAACATCAGTAGCACTAGTAGAGGCAGCACTGTGGGAATGGAAGGAGAAGCTGTGAATGCAAACCCTGACTAATTCTAATGTGAATTCACAGCAGAAATGTGACTCAGGACTCTTCAAAACCTCCAGTCTGTGAACTGTGGCTTCTAGTTTTATCCTTGCAGGTGCCCTGGTAGTCTGCTTTATACATTTGTTTGATTGTGGCAGCTTGCCTACACTGCTGTCCCAAATAAGTTTCCTAAATGTATATTTAATTTAGTTCTGGAATGAATACTGCACATTGTTTTGAAAAGGAAAAAAAGACTTAATGTTTCCAGTCACCTTTATTTCACTAGAAAAGTATAAATTACCATCATAAATACAAATAACACCAGTATAAAAATTAATTCTCATTTATAAAATAAATACTAAAAGTCAAAGCAACAGGTATCTCCAAATCCCATCACCAAGATGATTTGAATCTACACCACAGAAACCATTATTCAACTGTTAATTAAAAATGATGTTCAAAATGCAGTAAACTGCTACCTATTCAGTGCTTGCTGAAGTGAGTTATTACTGACTCAAAGACTGCAAAGTATTTGTTCTAACACTTAGTTGGAACTATCAGACTCCTCTGTCTATATAACTCTAGGTGTAGTGTAACTGGATATACTTTCCAGATAAAGAGCAGGTACCTGCTTCAATAGTGTTTCTTACAAGCTGCCAGTGCAGTAGTTTCAGTTTGTTTACCTTTGTCAGCATCCAAAGATAAACAGACCAAGTTCATTTTATCCAAGAAGTGCAAAAATAATAGTAGCAATTTTGTCACATCTGAACTAACAGATTATTTCACCAGTTAATATTGTTAAAAGGCAGATAAATACAGGGTTTGTTTCATAGAAACAGAAAAATATTCCTTTTAGTTAGGTAAAGGACACCTATTTTTCAAAAGTAGTGTTTTCTCCCCTCACAAGTACCGTATATCTTCTGGCTCAATAAGGCCGTACTGATCAAGTTAAAAGTACCTCTAGTTCAGAATCCTGTTTAACAGGACAATAGAAGGGGCTTGGGAACAGTCTAGGAAAAATCTGTCTGCAAAGAGACCTTGGCAACTGAGAGACGAGCAATCCCCAGCCATGGGAAGTTCTACCAGGGAAAGTGCTGGGCTCGGCACCTGGCACGGGGCAGCCCTGGATGTAAACTTGGAGTCGATGATCCTGATGGGTCACTTCCAACTCAGCCATTCTATAATTCTATGATTGTAACAGATCACCACAATGCTCTTCCAGCCTCTGGCCACTAATGACACAGGGTTTCCTGATATCTGGATTTTTCGTCTGTACTGTCTAGTGGATTTTTTAATCCACATAAAAGTTTGGGCTTCAGAATTCCTGTTTCAGAGAGCCTAAGGCTCCACTCAATTACCCAGTTTTGTTGTTGGGGTTTTTTCTGCTTTGGCTCTGCCACTAGTGTCTGCAATACTTTTTCCTTAGACACCATTAAGCAGCTCCTTTTCTCTCACAGCTCTTGCTTTCTTCGCTTTCTTGCGTTTACACAGAACCACTGGAAGGACAATGGCAAGAGTGATGACTGCTACTGCTATCACTGCTAAGATGATAAAGACTTCTGTTCCATATTCTGTAGGAGAAAAAAAATTCCAAGATTCAGTTATCAGAACCCACAATGTCACAGTGCTACAAACTCTTTCACTGAATGAAAAAGTGCTTTCTATATGTTAATCTCACAGAAGTGGAGTCACCACTTCAGCGTGAACTGAATACATTTTAACATTAATTTGTTGAACTGAAGTAAAGTTTTATTCTGCCTGGTTCACTCTAGGTTTTAATCTAGTTTAGTTAGTGCATTAAAGTACATGCTAACACCATAAGAATAAGTCAAACCATTCCCTCTGCCTGTACATTATTTCTGTCCAAGTGAAAATCTATTCTAGGTTACAAGCTAGAAAACTCCCAGAGAAGATTTTTCTATTTAAATTTTAATGGAATTGCATTTTATCACTTTTGTGGTAAATTCTCTGGATAAGGAAGCTAATTTGAGTTCATTTGCCATTTTAGAAGAGTTTTTCTAGAGTTCAAATATTCTTACTCGGGGAGAAGAAAGATACAGTACAGCAATGTGATATTATTTAAGTAATATTGACGACTGTGTATTGAAGAAAGTGTTATCCAAATGGTTAGTCTGATATGGCTGGCTGATTCGCCTACACTTGCTAACTTATTCACCACTAAAGAAGTCTATCTGCCAACCTCTGACCTCGGAACAGGAAAGGAAGTCTTATTCTCATTATCTGCTTTTGGCATAACTAAAGGTCAGCTCATGCTACAAGTAAATGGATATGCAGGTTTCCAGCACTTCTATGTTTTACAGCTAATCTTTCAAGCACTTACTATGGCACCTGCCATCCTCGGAAGGATCCAAGGAAAACAACTGGAAATAAAAATGAAGCTGAAGGCTGGTGATGACATCTGGAACCTTAGACACCAGTCATCAACTCAGACATTTTAACCAAAACAGTTGGGCAAAACCCTAAAACCAGCTCCAACTAATTAAAGATGGTGGACTCTTACTTAAAGAGAGTTCTACCCATGAATTTCTATGTTCCAACTGTGTATTCTAACTTAGTTTATTTCACTGCAGGCACCAGAATTTAATGTGGGTTTTTTGTCAGAATATTGAAGATTGAACGACAAACGTGATACTTACCATCTAAGATATTTTTTCCTACACTGGTACAGAGCACCATGCTTTCTTGGCCACTACGATTTTCTCTGCGAGAGGGAATGATTCCCTGGACATAGAAGCAATAGTTCTTTCCACTGTCAATGCTTACTTCAAAATTATGGCTTTTTGTTGTTGCATCTTTCTGCAAAGGAAAAAAATATTTCAAGTGTCAATTCTGAAGATAGCACAGAAATTGTGTAACTATACAGAATGTAACAATAATTACAGAACAAAAACTAGATTTAGACCTTACCTTTCCAGAACTTTGATCTTTCCAGTAAGAGAGTTTGTATTCCAGGTCATGCTGGAAAATGTCTTGAATACTCAGAAAGCTTCCATTAGGAAATATGTATGGTGTAAGTGGATCTTTGAACACAACGTTCAGTTTGGAACCTTTTTGTGAATAATCCTTTATCTCTGGTTTTCCAATAACAGCTAAACAAAGATTTTTAGAATTAAAAACCAGACATTACCATTTATATATGACGTGCTCTTCTTCCTTCTGCCCTCCATTACCTTCCTTTCTCAAATATATTACAAGTTTACAAAACCAGTGAAGGCCTAGATTGTAAACAAGTACCCTCACCTAGTACATATTAACTAAATGGTCTACTCAGTGCAGTGAGAAAGAAAATGGCAACTAAAGTCTTTCACCCTCCCCTACAACAGGGAAAGCTTTATGCCTGAATATCTTGTTTTCTGATAACAGCAGGGTTACTGTAAGAATCTACAGAAAAAACCCTTTAAGTTCAATCTAAACCTTATTTAAATCAACAGAAGTAATCTTGAAAATAAATTTATAGTAATATTTAATTGGCAATCCTACTTACTCTGGCTATAAGGTGTAAATTTTTCAGAGACTGCAAAAGGTGGCTCTTCAAAGTTATCCATCTCCGCAGGCTTTACAGACAGTATGTGTGCTGTATAGGTCTCCTTTACATTCCTGAGCACATCAGTAACATCACACTCCGTTTCTGATGTCAGTATGCATTTTCTCTTCACGTCAGATGTCTGTCTGAAAAGAGCAAGAAAGAAGTGTCAACACTTTTGAACCAGACATACATGTATTATGTATTTAGATATGTTAAAAAACATTTTCCCCCTCAAACTGTATAGATTTCCCTTATCCTGTAGAACAGCCTTGCAGGCTAAAAGGAGAAGAGAAAACCTCAAAAGCCATTATCCTGTATTGCTGTATTTCACAATTCAAAGCAAAATTAAGTAAATCAAGTATGATCGATATTAATTAGAGAAATGTGCTATGGGACACATATATGAATTTCAAAAATCAATCTTCTACATGAATTGAATAGAAACCATAACTAGTTCTGATTTTGCATTTTTCTGCAGTTACAGAACGTATTTTAAAGAAATATAAGATGGATAAATCACTTTGAAGGTGTTATCCTTGATGCATTTGAAAACTATTGCCTTAAGAAATATCAGTTGTTATAGGAAGCTCTATTGACACTCATTTTTTAATGTGACATTAATGTTTCCATGTAGATGTAATTTGGTTTTGGGTCTATGCAGAAGCCACTAAGAACCAGACAGTAGCAGCAAATTTTAATGCAGAATTACAATTTTAAAACATTGACAAAAAGCATGAACCATGCACTTCTCTTGATTTTTGAATGATAGCAAGCAGGTCCACTTATTTGCGAAAGAGCAATGATGACTGTGAAAAATATTAATTTCTCATTTTACTTCCTCACAAGAAGGAACGAAAAAAACAGATTAGATATTATTCTTTCAGTTCTTTTCCCTCTTTTTCCTGGTGAATTAAGGAGAACAAAAATTGTGTGATCTCAGCAGGAAGAGTGAATGGTGACTGTTTGAATATTAACAAAGTGTTTTTTTCTCAAAGTAGATCAAATTTCATTTTTTAGAGTCAGCTGAACTCCCTTCTCACTTCATCAGATTTCTTTTGTCACAGATCAGTGAGGGACAGTGCCACAAGAAATACACTGGAAAGGGATAGAGGTTTGACCTTTTTGATGAAACAAATGTACTCTGTACCTATACATACACAAGAAAGCGAACATTTAATCCCACTTCCTCCATAACAGCAACTTCAGTTAAAAGAGATGCCTCTTCTGCAGAACTACACCTGATTCTATACCGAATCTTGGGCAAACAGATTTTAGGTTTTTGCAAGCAAAATTCTGGAAAAAAACCCCACATTCAAAAATTTAATAAAATTTGTTCTGCTAAGTGTGTGCTTTTAAGTCCATTAATCTAATCACACCTAAAGAATGAAAAAGAACACTAAGCCATTACACTGGTATTTCACTTGTTAGTCATGACAGAACACTCATTTTTATACCACTTTTAGAGACAGCAGAGACTACAGTACCACTTTTTCATTAGTATGTAGGAAGTTTGATGACATGTTTTCCCTTTAGGGCATGTTTAATAATGCTCTGTGTATTAAAATGGGAGCTAAAACCAGCACAGATTCATTACTGAACTTCATGGAAAGTTTTGTGCAGTTCTGAAAGAGGCATTAGGCACTTCACATAAGCTGGCTACGTTTTATGTTCACAATATTTTACAGCTTACATAAAACATGGTATCTTGACAGAGGTAGATGAACAAAGGTAATTTTTAGTATTACCCAGCAAGACAAAATTATTAATTACTGTGATTCACCAATTTGAATAAAATGCAGACTCAGTTATTAGGCACCTCCTAAGACTGAAGACACAAGTCCAGACACCTTGAAAGACCTTAAAAGGTGACATTCTGTCTAATACATGGTACGTAAGGTTGAGTATCAACTCCTTCAAAGTATCCTGACTGGCTCTCTCAAGCAGCACCGAAACCCATAACTAAAATACTGATCTAAAGCTCATCTTTCCAGTTCTGAAGTGGGCAAAACCAGAAGTCTAAACCAGATATTTTTATAGTTGGACACTAATAAGTATTAACACCTGGGCTGGCAGTTTTCCTAAATCCTGTTACATTTACTTTCAGAAATATTCAAACATGTTCTTTTCATTTTCTTTTCATTTTCTTAAATTGCTGTTAATGAACATATCATGGTGTTATCTACTTACCCATGTATTTCTACAGTATAGAAGTAGCCTGATGGTTTTGGTTGCCACTGTAGTATAGTTTTAAAATTGATTGAAGACCAAGTTATGTTGACTGCTGTTGGTAGTTCTTCATAGCCTTTAAATACAGAAAAGAGAGTCATCAGTCGTGTTATAATTTCTGTTTCCCTGCAGTCATTGTTGACTTAAATTAAGCAGTTGCCATTAATTGCAACTTGGAAACGTTTTCTTGGAGAAAAAGGCTCGGTCCTGCCCTTAGGAAAGGACTGCTCATCTTACTAAAGGAATGTGTCCTGGCAAAAGTGAAGAATGAGAAGAAAAGTATTTTCTGTCTTGTAACTCTGAAATTGATTAGTTAATTTGGAGTTCTGTTTAATGCTTCATTTATCCAAGACCTATGCAGAAGATACAAAAGCTTGAACATGCACGAGAACGTTCAAGCACTGAACAAATGAGGCATAGCTCAAAACCATCTCTAGCTGTATCTGCTGCAGAAAGCGTTAGCTCCTGGATTCCCATTTACACATTTTGGAAAGATAAAGTCTCTTTAAAAATCAGTGGTTACCCTACACACCCACATTATCTGCGAGAGGCCACCCCGGGATGAGTTCGTGTCCCCCTCAAACACATTTCTGGCCAGCCACAGCCGCTTCGGGGAAATGCCTAGGACGAAGCCGGAGGGGAAAAACCCTCGCAACCCTGTAACCTCTGGAAACCCCTCGACAACTTCGGAGCTGGGAACAAGGGGAGGAAATCTTGCGACTTCACTGCAACTTCCCACCCCCGAGGCCGTCCCCGCTCCCAGCAGTGAGGAACCCGCAGCGGCGACCAGCCCTCGGCGGCCGGGCGGCGGAGCGCTGCTGCGGGGTCGGTCCGGAGCGTCTCTGTCCCCTGCCCGCCGGAGCGGGACGGCTCTCCTCGGATTCCCTGAGGGACACCCCTGCCTGGGGCTGCGAGGGACCGATCCCCGGCGCCATCCCTCCCATCCCGCCCCGTCCCGCGGGCAGTCACTCACCGGCGGCCAGGTGGCACAGCAGCGCGCTGAGCAGCAGCGCCTGTGGCGGGGCGGCGGCACGCAGCATCCTGGACGCCGTGAGGGAGCTGCGGAGGCCGGCCGCGCCGGCATATATGGAGCGGGGCAGCGCAGAGGCGGAACCGAGGCCTCGCCCGGGGCCGCCCAGCGGGGGCGAGGGGACGGAGCGCGGCGGAAGCGCTCGGTACCGCCGGGTTGAGCAAGCACAGCGGGGGATCTTCGAGGAAAAGGAGGGGAGGGGCGCTGAGGGACGGACGTGTCCCGCGGGCTCCAGCCCCGCCACCGCATCCCTCGGCGCGGGCCGAGCTGGACCTGAGGGCACACCTGGGCATACCTGCGGTCCGTGTCCCTCTGCCTGTTTGGTGTCATGAGGCCCTTGTACCACCCCTCCCTTCTCCTCTTGGAATACTGGTGAAATTGGACACCACTGGATAGCCAGCTTCATCCTCTGCAAACCTTTAGCTGGCTGGCGAGGGGCACCCAAGCTCGGAAGCGGCTGCTCTGTGGGGCAGCTGGTCATGCAGAAGGGATATTGGGTCAATTAACTTTGATCCCGTACATTCTGAAGGGCTAAATATGTGAGTCCTTCCCTCAGCACGCAGGACACTGGACACAACTGCTCAGCTAGATCACATCCTCTGTCCCCTCACACCGTGCGTAGCAGACCCTGGCAAGGCTCATCGGTCACACCAGACAGAAAGTAAGTTTCAGGTGTTCAGGGCTTAGTACCTCATCTCTCCTCTAAACCGGGGGCTGTTTACCCTTTTCCTGTGAGGTTGCATTGGAAAGGTATGCCATTTTCAGAGGAGCAGGGAATTTCTGACAGAAGGCGTTCCGAATCTCGGCCTTTGCTGAGGCTCAGCTCCTGGGCTGTGCGCGGCGGTCGCGGTGTCCCCGGCGGCCTTTACCCGGGCGGGGGCTGCGGCTCTGGGTAACACTCAAGCTCTAGAGGGAGCTGTGCTCGAAGGAGCTCAGGATTCTGCCGCAGGAAGGTGGGAAACAGACCGTGCAGTAGAACCTGTGTCATAATTCAGGGGGACATATACATTTACAGCCTTAGACTGACTTCTTTTTGTTTTGATGCTGACTTGGTACCATGTACGTGGAACATGTAGGTAAGAGAAGAACACTAATGGAGAGGTTGAATATTTCATTGCCTTTAATTTTCATGATTGACACATACTTGTCTGCAAGCAACCAGTTCTCTTTTATAATGGAAAATAAAAGCATATGAAACAAATTACAATATCCATTCAACCAGCGTCTGCATCAGAATTCATATAATTCTAAGGCAAACCTAAACCTTTGATTTTTAAGTTATTGGTATACCTTCATTAAAATCCAGCCATACACCTTCTCATTTTCCTGCTTTGTTTTTGATCAAATTTCAGCACTGTCTGTATGTAGCTGTATTCCAACATTACCTCAGCCAAAACTATTGCCTGCTTTTAACTTGGTGTAGAATACATATCTTGTGGTGTTTCTAGCTTTTCAGGATGGTGAACTTATAAGATCACAGTTGATTTTCAAAGGACTTTAAAAAGAGAAACAGTACACATATGTTTAAAGAAAGAGATGCTTATATGAAAATTTAAAATCACCTTTAGGTTTTAATTCCACTTAATTTCATGTAGTTCAGTTACAGAAGATGGAAAGTGGGTCAGTGGTGGTTTCCAGTTTTTATGCAGGTAATCTGGTGATCCCCTTCTCCTGCCTATACCTTCTTAATCTCATCTCTTCTGTCAAGAGCTCCCACATGTGAGAGAGGTGAGGAACCATCCAGGCCTTGTCCAGACTAATCAGTGTGACCACTGTTAGGTATTTCAGTGTTCACTAACACTAAGCTCTTAGATGTTCTCCTTGCTGCAGCATGAGAGAAGGAGGACACCAGTTTGCCAGAGCTGATCAGGTTGGCATGGCAAGGGAGATGGAAAAGTGAGAAGCGCTGATGTAGGAGCTGCTGCTGCTATCTCTGCTCTTCTTTCTCTTCTTTGGCCAAGAGCAGATTTGACCACAGAATGAGAACTGCTCAGCGCTGCTTGGCTCCAGGCACCAACCAGCGTGGGAGAGAAGAACATCACACAGCCTGACAGGGGCTGAAGCTTCTGAAGTCTGCTCAGCAGCCAGTGACTTCACTGACATTCTGGTCACATTTCCTGCCCACTTTATGGTATTTCAACAGCTCATTTAACACAGAAAAATTGTGCCTCTTTTCAAACATATGTTGCTACATGCAGGCGAGCCTTCTGCTGACGTAGAGCTCTGGCAATTTGTCTAGAAACTTTGTATTTGGCTCCCAGACTGGAATGCCAAAATATAGGCATTGTCTCTGTGCATGTCTCTAACCCATTTAGTCATCCTGTGCTCGTTTAGAATCAGCTGAGAAAAAAACTCATTCCTAAGGTGAATTGCATATTTTCTAGTATAGGCATCTAAAGCAAGTCAAATGACTCTATTTCAGTGTTGAAATAAATGGAACATTTCTATTGATGGAGATGAAGATCTTGCGGAGACTGTTTAGAATATGTGGGAGACATGCAAGAGTGCAAGGCTGGCTGCACAATTTAGACAACCTCTTCTACTCTGTGACATCTTCAGTCTGGTGAACTGGGTGGAATCACGGTTATTACCCATTTGGAGGGTTTACTAGAATGCAAGCAGGTTCTACAGATTTTCTTTCCATGATATCTATGCTAGGGAGCCATTATGGGATTATGGGGAAAATGAGGAGGAAATCAAACCTAAATCCATGAAACTCCATTCTTTTTTAAAGAGGTGAATGTATTACTTTTTATTGTATGACCAAGCCTCTAAACTGGTTGGTTTAGAGAGAGGTACAAATAATTCTTTGCTTAGCAAAGCAACTGCCACCTCATGTTTTCTGTACAGTCATATATAATTATTGAAGTGGACTGCCTCAGGTGACATCGGTGACAGATTGGTTTCTTTACGTGGGTGGTTTTGCAAGACTGTAAGTAAAATTTGGTAATAGTTATTAGCGTTTTGAAATTTTGTAGTGTTATAAAACGTTCATCACTCCGTGCTAACATCAAAGTCAGCAATATCATCATGTCTGACAGTGTAAAATTTACTTGTGTGAGCGGGATTTGAAATCAGTGAGAACTTTTTCCAAAATGAAATTGTTCCTGATATTTATCTTAAATTTAAATTTGTTTAATTTGTCTTAGTGACCCATATGAATGGGTAAATAATGTAATTATACAATTAATTATATTTCATTAGAAACTCCAGAAGTTTAAGTAACAACCTGTAATTTGGTACCTGCTTCCATAAATATCTTAGCATTTCTCTTGCAGACCTGCTTATCAAATACTGTGTTATAAATGCATACACAAACTCACAAATACCACTGAGAAACAGTATTTGTAATTAAGAGGTATTGTATAATGTTGCAAAATTAGTTACTAAGTTCTCTTTTTGATGCACAGAAACTCAATTAGTATAATCTCCCTTTGGTGAGCAAAGTCATTGAACCAGTGTAATGGAGTCAAGAATCAACTTTTATACCTAAAAGTAGCCGTGTTTATGCCTGAAATCTTCACACCAATGAAAGTCCCAGTATCATTAATCCCTTGTGAATCCCTGATTTTCTTATTATCTAAACTATTAGAAATTATTCTGTGATTCTATAACTACCTTGTGATTTTATAAAATCACATGTAGCTTAACAGAAAACAGTAATGTTTCACTGGGATAGAACTAGTTAGAAATTTAAATCCAGTTCTGACATTAATGAATCTTCCTTTCATTTGTTGAAAAAAAGTAATGAATTAACAAAATTGATAGAAGAATTGAATTAGCAAAAGATATTTCTTACAGGGGAATCACAGGTACAATATGAATTTCTTGCTGACAGTAGAAATCCTGAAGTGAATATTTGTATGTTTTTCTGATATTCTGCTTTCAAAATTTGTGTTTTTACCACGTTGGCCATACACACACCTCCTTATCATATGGATATGTTAGAAAGAGACACTAGCACAGGAGCAAATGTCCTGGGAGTCTTTGGATCTGGATGGGCTCTGTGTGGAAGTGATGCCTGGTTGGGAGGCAGGACAGGCAGCCCAGGGAGGGAGGCTTTGACCCTTTTCCACTCTGAAACTTGTCAACATTGCTTTGGTGTTAGCTCCAAATTCCTGTTTCTCACTCACAGAATGACGTGTGATGCATTTATTACCCTTTTCAAAATGTTGTCTTGCAGCTCTATTTCATGAAAAAGAATTTGACCAACATATTTAGTGCATTTTATTTCTGTGATCTTCAGCGATGCCTTGGGGTAAATTAGATCATGTAAATGAAAATTTAAACCATGCTTTGGTTGATTTGGTGCATGGAGAATTTCTGAAAGCGAGTGGCTACAGCAATAGCACAGCTGTGCTGTGAGGAGTGCCAGGGTCCTGGGAACAGCTGGGTTTGTTTACTAGTGACTTCTCCTGCTAGAGGACAAGCAATTACAACAGTAGTAATAAATGTCACTGGAGCACAACAGAAACTATGGAGATAGAGATACTAAATTGTATTGGTTCCTTCCGTGCCCAGAGGCTTTAGTTTAGCCAAACCAAAGTGTTACAAGATGGAATCTGTTGTTTGACACCGTGATGCAGTCTGTCTTCCCTTTATTCCAGGTGTTCTGTCCCAACTGTGAAGTATCCTCTTGGGGTATTTAGCTTAGCCTGTTATATCTTAATGACATAAATTAATCTTGCAGTTCCTATGCATCTCACTCACAAGATTTATTTTTCCCAAGTGTTGTGTCCAAGTGCACACAAGTGCAACTACCAGACCTTCCTTATTTAGGTTTTCTTCTCATGCCTGAGTTTGTGAGGAAGGGACAAAACTGAAAAAAAAAACCCAAAAGAAACATAAATATTAAATAATAATGAATAAAACTTATTTTAAAAGAGGCAAGTACATTAAAAGTAACCTCCTTTCTTTTCATATTGAATCCAGTCTCAGCTCATGAGTCTTTAAATTTCAGGACTGAAATAAATCAATTTTACTGGACAGTTATTTATAACTGTTAGTACAACTTACTCCCTTTTCTTA